CATGATCGCACCGGCTAGTCTGGTGCGCGTTGCATTTATTTCTTCTTATACCGGTAATTCAGAGTGTTGTACAGCTGTATGTTTGGTACTCCAGGATTTGCATTTACTAGCAAACAATTATATAACACTATTTCACAATGCGCATGAACGACACATATTCATCAATCTTGTACAGCATTCTCACGGAGCCAAAGTGTCTCTTTTTTACACACCCGCAATCATTCAAAAAAAGGAAAGGATGTGGCGGCAATGGGGAAGAAAAGGAAAGGCTAAGGAGGCAGGGGCCACTGAGAGGAAGCGTTTTAAACTGCTAAAAAAATCGGCTAAAAAACTGTTTTTGATGATTGCTTCTTCCTTGCTTCAATAAATATGAGGAGAATTGGTACAATTAAGCATTCTTGGCAAGAGTTGCTCCGGGTTTCCGATAGATGGGGCATCTTGTTACGGTGCCTTACTTATCGGATGATAAGCTGTAGCCGATTAGCAGAACAGATCCCAAAGTCGCTCCAAACACGCACTGTTCACAAGCCGCCACAGACGTTTCGCCCTACATTGCCGCTTTATCAGTGCACTGGTTTCCAGGCCCCATTTTCTAAGTTAATGTGCGGAACTGTTTATTTCACAAACACTTTTCGGATGAAAACTATGTTGGTCACATATTTATGCAATGCATATGTAACTGACTTTTTGTCGCCAAGCTTAAGCTGCTAGTTATTGGCTAAAGCTTAAAACTGGCAGATCAAGCTAATGAAGCAGATTTTTTGGAAACTTCCAAGGCATTAGAAGAGTTGTGCGTAGATAGGAAAAAGCTTCGTTCTGCCATAGGCCTCAATCTCGCCCGTACATGCCAAAACAGAGAACAGCGCTACTACTGTCTAATGCCGGCTTCCTGACAGCTCAGTAACTACCTCTATCATCCTGTTACCACCTAATCTCTCTCTCCTGATAGCTCTAGAACTATTCCCATCAATCCCGGATTCAGTAGCTGCACAAAGCACAACTTTCAACAAGTAACATTATCATTTATAATCATGTACAATTTAGGATATCGTCGCATGAAATTCGGCTCGAGCTAGGTCACATGCCGGATCGATTGTTACTCGATGTATATTCGGATACATTAAGAAATAAAACAGGCAAAATGCGAAGAACCCGAAAAAAAAGAGCATCTGAAATACAGAAGTTGCAGAAGTACAGGGAAAATTTAGAATTCCCATTTCGGGTTCGTATGCTGAAGAGCCGCAAAATCCTCTAGGTCACCCAAGCACAATTCTCAGGCCCTGTTTCGAGAAACGTTAATGCGCCTTTACGTGAAAAGGTCATCGCAATGTTCCAAAAATGCAATTTTATCAGAAATGAGTGCGATATCTTCAGAATGAAAGAGCGCACAATCAGTTGGACTTCCCGAGAGTGACCACTGGGACATCTGAAATCAAAAAATCAAAGACTGCAAAAATAGTAAGACCTGTGAGATCCAGTGAAATCGGCGCATAAACTGAGGCGTGAACTGAAGCACTGCGTCATGCGTCCTCCATCGATCATATTGCGTAAAGCCTGTAAATGAGCTTTTCCTTACCAAATGTCTGCTCATCAACACTGATAAGTTGTCATGAAGGAATCCGAAGAAAACCCTACTCTCACTTACAACCAGTTTTATAGTCATCTTGTAATAAATTACCATTAGATCCGATGCTATCGACGGAGCACAGTGAAGGTGGCGATGAAGGACCAAT